ATATTTATATTTATAAAATATAAATATAAATATAAATATAAATATAAATATAAATATAAAATATAAATATAAATAAAGACACATATAACACTAAGGGTTTCTGTCTCCTTAGGATCCTTTAGGGTGTATATGCAGCTAGCCGAGGGTTTAGGGTTTAGGGTTTATCATTAAATAGTGTTTATTATATAAACTATAAACACTAAAATAAACACTATTTAATGATAAACCCTAAACCCTTATTATATAAACTATAAACACTTAAATAAATAATTTTATTTTATTTTATTTTATTTTATTTTATTTAATAAAAAAAAAAAAAAAAAGAAGAGAAAACCCTTATATCGGGGTGTACAGACACCGAAGAGTAAACCCTTAATAAGTTAACAAACAAATAAAACAGAAATAAATATATTTACTCATAAATTATAATTAATTAATTAATTAATTTTTATTCGTAAACCCTAAACCCTAAACCCTAAACCCTCGTTCGTTACTGAGCAGATGGTGGTACAGCAAACCCCACCAACCCCACGGGCCCCGATCTTCCTCATCCTTGTAGCAGCATAAACCCTAAACCCTAAACCCTAAACCCTAAAATATAAATATTAAGAATTATTGACGACAATATTTTGTTTCCTCTCTCTCCCTCATCATCCCCTGCTGCCTACCGTAACACGAGAAGACAAACCCTCGTCAAGGGTTTAGGGTTTAGGGTTTAGGGTTTATTTTATTTCTTTATATAAACAACCCTGAAGAATGCCTACAAATCCAACAATAAACAAAACCTTTCCTCTAAACCCTTAATACTATCTGCCTATATACCAGATGATTAGGGTTTACGGATTAGGGTTTAGGGTTTAGGGTTTAGGGTTTAGAGGTTCCTTATGGATCCATACGAGGAAAACTTTGAAGACCTCCTTGCTGAGGCTGAGCAATTTAATGCTCCTCCTGATCCTTCCTATTTAGAGGGGCCCCCAAGAGGGGCCCCTGCCCAAGACAGGGGGCCCCTCAGGGGTTCCCGAATTGGGGGGCCTCCCGGAGGGGGGCCCCCCGATGAGGGGGCCCCTGAGGTAATAAATATAGGAGAGGACAGCCTATTAGATAATTCACAAGGGAATTGTTTATCCTTAGAAGAACAATTAAGGGAAATACAATCACAAAGTTGCGCTAATTGGTTCGGGGAGTACCCTGGGGGCCCCCTTGGGGGCCCCCATATAGATGGGGATGGGGCCCCTGGGGGGCCCCTAGGAGGTGGAGGAGGAGCAGAAGAAGAGAATGTATTGGATGGAGGGGGTATTGGGGGGAAGAGGAGACTCAGCAGCACAAAGAGGGGAGACGGATTGTCTCCTCGTGCTGCAGCAGCAGCTGCTGCTGCTGCTAGGAGTCCCCATTCTGCAGCATCTCTTCACAAGCGTAGGAGACAGCAGCAGCAGCAACAGCAGCAACAGCAGCAGCAGCAAGCAGCAGAAGCAGCAGCTGATGAGGAGGAGGAGAGACTATTAGCACAAGCAGCAGCAGCATTAAGACCTCCAATGCCTTTCTTTGATATAAGTCATCTCCCTTATCTCTCCTTGCTGCAGTCTAGCAGCAGCAGCAGCAGCAACAACAGCAGCAGCAGCAGCAGCCGCAGCACAGTAAAGGAGTATACAGCATGGGAGGAAGCAGCAAGAGTTGCTGCTCAGCTGCCACAAGATTATAATAATAGTAAGGGGGCCCCCGCAGCAGCATACCTAAGGACCTGCCTATACACCGCAAATACGCGCAGCAACCTTCCCCCCTTACTCTTACAAAAGGCAGCAGCAGCAGCAGCAACTGCAGCAGAAGGGGAAGCAGCAGCAAATGGGGAGGAACAGCAGCAGAAAACTGGTGCTGGTGCTGCTGCTGCTGCAGTAGCAGAGGGAGCAGTACGTGTGCTGCCTCCTTTTGCTGCTGGAGGGGAGACTGTGGGGCCCCCGGTGTATGTACAGGTACTAACAAAGGAGCAGCAGCAGCAGCAGCATGCTGCTGCTGTTGCTGCAGCAAGAGAGAACACAGCCTTCGGCAAACGTAGATCCATGGAAGAGGTCCTCAGGTATCTTCTGCTGCTGCTGCTGCTGTTGCTGCTGCTGCTGCTACCTCTTACTGCTGCTGCTGCGTGCTGCTGCTGCTGCTGCTGCTGCTGCTAATGTGTTGCTGCGTGCTGCATGTCTTGTTTTTTGTGTAGGGAAGTGATGGAGGCGCAAGCAGCAAAGAGGCAGCAAACGGAGTTGCTGCTGCAGCAGCACAGAGAGAGACAGGAACAGCTGCAGCAGCAGCAGCAGCAGCAGCAGCAAACACAGGAAGAGCAGCAAGGGCAGCAACTACAATGGGTAGATCTATATAAACCAACAAGGTAATTTTTTTGTCTTTTTTTTTTCCTTATTTCTTTTTCTTTTTATTTATTAATTAAATTAAGTTAATATAAATTAAATAAATAAATAAATAAATTAATAAATTAATTAATTAATTAATTAATTAATTA